TTGGCCACCACTATGACCCAGACTTCAATGGGAAGTGTACAAAGTGCCATTTATACCTCTGCACAACAAAGTAGTGCTTCTTTTGTATTTGGTGGCTGTTGATAATATACTTGGCAACTTCATCTAAAGGAGATTCCCCTGGTCCAATGTACTAGTCATTACTACAAATACTTGTAGCCATTTTGCCACTTGTTCCCATTTGATCACCATGCTCAAATGCAGGTGCAAACCCCTTTAACTCCATTTACCAAAACTCCCTGGGTTCCAGGACATATTCAAGGAAGTTCCACAGCTTCCCTCCTTCAGTAGTTCAGAGAAAGTTACATCTGAAGAGGCAGAGGTAGCTAAGCAAGTGATCTGCAGCCATGTGTAAGGCCCTCCACTGCCAGAACCAGAGCCAGGCCAGGGCCTAATAGCAGTGTAGAAGGCCCAGCTACTGTAGGGAAAACCTCTCCGATTGCTACCATAGCATACAGACTGTGCTATGCAGCCTTGTTACCCTGATTGAGCCAGGACAGAGACATTGCTGTGAAGAGTCCATATTTGTGCAGCTTTAAGAACCAGTTACTTTCTGTCTCATCATTTGGCTAAATACCCATCAACTGTGGGTGTAGGATTATAACTTCTTTTTTTATATGGTTGAACTGGATGGACTTTTGTCTTTCTTCAGCCAGACTAACTATGTACAGTCGCAAGAAAAAGTATGTGAACCCCTTGGGATTACGTGGAGTTTTGCATGAATTGGACATAAAAAGACATTTTGCAGGAAAACGTACAACCATCTGTCCGCCAACTGAAGCTCCGCAGAGGATGGGTGATGCAACAGGACAATGACCCAAAGCATACAAGTAATTAAACAAAACAATGGCTGCAACAGCACAGAATACGCCTTCTGGAGTGGCCCAGTCAGAGTCCTGACCTCAACCCGATTGAAATGCTGTGGCATGACCTTAAGAGAGTGATTCACACCAGACATCCCAAGAATATTGCTACACTGAAACAGTTTTGTGAAGAGGAGTGGTCCAAAATTACTCCAGATCGTTGTGCAGGTCTGATCTGCAACTACAGGAAACGTTTGGTTGAGGTTATTGCTGCCAAAGGAGGGTCAACCAGTTATTAAGTCCAAAGGTTCACATACTTTTTCCTCCCTGCACTGTGAATGTTTACATGTTATGTGCAATTAAACCATGGCAACATCTAATGTTTGTGTAGTATTATGTTCAGCAGACTGTGTTCTTCTATTGTTGTGACTTAGATGACGTTCAGAGCACATTTTATGCCCAATTCATGCAAAACTCCACGTAATCCCAAGGGGTTCACATACTTTTTCTTGCAACTGTAACTATGTTAAATACTCCTCAGATACTATATAACAGTGGTTGTCAGCTTATGGCATCACTGAAAGTACCAAAGGGATGCTACAGAACACAGAAAATATAGACATGCTACATATGTTGGAGACAAACATTAAAGTGTTACTAAACCCAGGATCCTGTATTCATTATATCTGGCCTTCCACAGTATGCAGAACATGTCAATGCAATTATTTTAGTAAATGTATACGTCTAAATATCTTTTCTCATCAGCAATTAGAGCAGTCTTGTATCTTCTATCAGTGTTCAGCGGAGCACTGGTTAAAGCTTGTAGGAGGTGTTTTCATTCTCCTTTAGGAGGATGCAGGACCCCTGACCCTCTGTCTGGACAGTGCTGATTTGCCCTGTGCTGATCACATGCACTCAAAACTGAGCATGTTCAGCTTGCCCCCCAAGACACTGTTCTATCAGCAAATGGATTGGGGACTGTGGAAGAAGGGGAGGATCAGGATCAAACAATCTTTTTACACAATGTGGAGGATTAACCCCTTATGTTCCACAGTGAGTATAACAAGCATGCTTTACTGCGTATACAGACTGGTTTTACTGTTGTGGGTTTAGTAACACTTTAACTAACAAAGGGTCATGTGTCCTAATGGTCACAGGTTGGGCACCAGGGCTCAGCACATGTCAGTTTTATATTTTCCCCTGTGAAGGTAAAATCTTACACTGTGTAATTATATAGCCTCTATAGCCACTTCGGCTGTGCTTCCCCTGTGATCTCTGATTTTTGTGCCAGCTCTGTACTGCACAGATCAAACAGTTTGATTTTACTCAGGGGGTTTTTAGGAGAGAAATCTAAAAAAAGGGTTTTTTATCACAACAGTGTAACAAGGGTCATTCCATTCTCTAAAATGTTTCTGCTCTAAACCCCAGCCTATCTTTGTTTTTCCACACACCTAACAGCTTCTAAATATATCATAGCATCATCAGTGTCTGCAAGCTTTATCTATGCCATAGCTCTCCTGATCGGTCCATTTGCTTGTGTTTTGCTGCCACCTAGATGCAGAAAGAAGTATTGGATGCCACAAATGAACCAAGGTTTATGGGCATCAGGTGTAAAATTACTTTGACAACGATTAGTACACAGAAAAAAAAGAGCCAGTTTCTATATGCGCACTTATTTTGCGTTTCATGCGCCAAATAAATAAAAGCCTTGCATCACAATTTGTTATTTTCATCCATGGTAGTGGTGCACCGTCCCCCCCCCCCCCCTCCCATCTCCTCTCCTCTTGTTATTTTGATCCATGGTAGTAGTGCACTGTCCTCCTCTCCTCTCCTCCCATTCCTCACTACTCTGTTAATGTCACTGTGGTAATACTGTGGTTTAATTTTAACAGCATCAATAATAACCAATTTAAATCCTAGGCATAGTCTTTGCCTCTCACATCTGTTTGCCCCCCCCCCCCCCCCCCCATGGACCAGAGAAACTTTTACATTGCTAACTTTAGACATGCTGTGGACCTGTTTTATTTGGTGATAACTGCCATTACTAAGGCTAGGTTCATACTGACTGAAGAGGTGGGAATCTCTTCAGTTTTCAAGTGCAATTCAAGACCACCTGCAGTGCGATTCAGCTGTCGTTAAGCTTAGATAGCGATGCGTTTTTCCTGCGATTTTCATGCAGTTGTGATTTTGGATTAATGCCTTAGGTATCTCTCTATCTCAACCAGCTCAGTAACACACAGGAGACTTGGCAAAAATGCACTGGAATCGCATGAGGTTTGTTTTGTTATATATATAAAAAGATACTTGATCGGGGTACATTCCACCCTGTACTGCGACGCAGCGCATAAATACACCACACAACAATATAGTCTCAATCATACAATAAATACATTCATCCAGTGGTATGATGCCTAACGTGATGTGTGGAGCAAAAAGTTCCCCTAACCATCACATCATGCATGACCCAGCTTACCCCAAAACCTTTTTGTGGCTCCCTAAGGTACCACCAGAGTCCCTAGTGGCACGATGACAGGCATGTAGTGGCTGGGTTAGACCCCCCCGTCCTACATGGCACCATAGCATGCAAAAACAAACCCATTTCAAATACCAATAAACAATTCAATAAGCAATGGGTATGATGGGGGTAGGAAAGGGGGCTGAGGGGAAAAAGAGTTCACAGGCCTGCAGCTTTATTGAAAGGACAAAGACATGCAAGAGAGAGTAGGGGAAGGGGAAATCTTCAGACATTTTCTTCCTCCTTGAAGTTCATCAGGTTATAGTACCTGAGCAGACTGGTGACCAGTCTGTGACAGTCCTCAATGGACATCCTCTCTCACTGGTGGATGAGGTGCTTTCTGGTGCACCGTAAAGTGCCCTTGCAGCAACACAGCACATGCCAAGCTCCACCAATGTCCTCCTTCCACAGAAAAGTCCATTCAGCACACCAAAGTGTGTATAGCTGTCCATGGCACAAAGTCCTTGATTTCTGGTTCCAAGGCCCTCAACAGGTCCTGAGCAAAGGGGCAAGACCAAAAACCGTGCAGAGCAGTTTCCTCCTGCAAGATGCAAAAAGGGCAGTGCCTTGCATGCATAAATGCCCTGAGTGGCAACCCCCCCCCCCCGGATCACCATCAATGCCAGGTCCTTTGGATCGCACTGCTCCAAAGACGCACACGAGCACATCAGTGTGAACCAGGGCTAAAGATAACAAAATAAAATATACAGTATATTGTGTTTAAGGACAAACAATACTTTCTTTTCATAATATTGTTTTGCAATAATTATTTTTTTTGCACTTCTTAGACAATAAAATGCAACAAAACACATTTTTTTTACCTGTCAGGTTGCTTTAACTGACATTAACTGACATCATTTACAGATCTAAGTTCATCCCTTTGATCTGTAGATGAATGAACAGAAAGATACAAATGTAACAATATGTTACTTTGTATCTTTGTATGATTACATGGAGCAGTGTTTTTTATAAACAGTGATTCAGACTGCTTTTTTGACAGCTATAGCTGCTGACTTCTGGAGTATGCAGTAATGCGGCTTTGATTAACCAAATCTGACATTTGCTGTATACTCAGAGGTTCCCAGAAGCAGAGCAGACAATGTTAATCCAGACTGGACCAGATAACTAACACCAACTAAACAAAACACTGACAAGATGTGTAATCAAGAATTTAGGAAGGTGGGCCCGGTCCTCAGAGTGGAGATTTCACAGGCATCTTAATCCAGCCCAAAGCCTCCAGTGGCAAGCGGTCATTGAGAGAGGTTCCTCTTGTAAACTCATATAGCAAACTGAACAAAGAAGGGGGGAAGGGGAGGAGAACATAGCACCCTTTGCATTCTCCCATGGGGTTCCATAGGGACCTAATCATACTACAAGCCCCAGCATCCTTCAGCTTTCATTCTCCAAAAAGTGTATCTGCACTGTTTTTAAAATTGCATAATGCTATTAATATGCTGCCAGTCTAAAAATAGAAAGGAAGTGTTATTTACAGAGGAAAGCCCTAAACTTCCTGTGTAGAACCGCTGCATTTTTCGTATCTGCAGCACATGGAAGTGTCAGAGAGGGCAGTATAGTCTGAAAGGAGATGTGGGACAGGAATTGTGAATGCCTGTTTTTTTTTTTAATGAATAATGGACATCCTGACATAATGCCTCTTTCTTCATTCTCAGTATGTTAACTGTCCTTAAGTCACAACCAGGAGTGCTGAAAGATAACAATACTGTGCTGATCCCAGGGGCGGACTGACCATTTGGAAACTCAGGCACTGCCCGAGGGCCCGGGGTCAGTAGGGGGCCCCATGAGATGCCCCTGGTACCTTTTTGATAGTCTTTTTTGAGTTTGGGCAAGGACACAGGGGCCCCATGATCCCTATTGCCCGGGGGCCCCATGAGTTGTCAGTCCGCCCCTGACTGATCCTATACAGGAAAAAGTGTTGAAAGATGGTTTCCTGATAGGAGGAATTACACACTTGTATTTGGTTTGGCAGTATATCACCTTAAGCTTCGGAAGGTTTCACTCCAGGTCATTTTTTGCTATTTGGCACTGTGCTACTTTAACTGACAATTGCACAATCATGCAACACTGTACGCAAATGAAATTTATATTCATTCATTTTTTTACACACAAATAGAGCCTTCTTTTGGTGGTATTTGATCATCACTGGGTTTTTTATTTTTTTTTATATAATATAAATGAAAAAGGACCAACAATTCTAAAAAAAAAAAACCAGATATTTTCTACTTTCTCTTATAAAACATATCCAATAAAAAAAGAAAAAAATCTTCTTTCTTTATAAATTTAGGCTAACATTCTGCTACATGTCTTTGGTAAAAAAAAAAAAAAAAATCCATATAAGTGTATATTAATTGGTTTGTGTGAAAGTTATAGCGTCTGCAAACTATGAATATTTGAAAATTGATCAGTTCTGATGTAGTGACGGGTGATCTATATTCTTGAGGCCCTTAAAATGTGTTTTGAAGTTGCAATTTTTTGTCAATGAAATGAAAAACATTTCACTTTTTTTTTTTTTTTTTACATACCAGCAGCACAGTACAGCGTCATCATATGACTGGTGTGGCAGTGATCAGGGACATTGACTGGTGACAGTATGCTAAAAAAAAAACAACCTAAAAAAAAATAAATCATTTTTTATTCAGTTTTTTTTTACTTTTTGTTTGGTGGTTCTAAAGCAGTGGTTCTCAACCTTTCTAACGCCGCGACCCCTTAATACAGTTCCTCATTTGTGGTGACCCCCAACCATAAAATTATTTTCGTTGCTACTTCAGAACTGTAATTTTGCAGTGGGAGGAATAGTGCCCCATCATTGGTATCAGTGGGAGGACTAGCGTCCCATCACTGGTGTCAGCGGGGGGAGGACTAGCGTCCCATCGTTGGTGTCAGCGGGGGGAGGACTAGCGTCCCATCGTTGGTGTCAGCGGGGGGAGGACTAGCGTCCCATCGTTGGTGTCAGCGGGGGGAGGACTAGCGTCCCATCGTTGGTGTCAGCGGGGGGAGGACTAGCGTCCCATCGTTGGTGTCAGAGGGGGGAGGACTAGCGTCCCATCGTTGGTGTCAGCGGGGGGAGGAATAGCGCCCCATCGTTGGTGTCAGCGGGGGGAGGAATAGCGCCCCATCGTTGGTGTCAGCGGGGGGAGGAATAGCGCCCCATCGTTGGTGTCAGCGGGGGGAGGAATAGCGCCCCATCGTTGGTGTCAGCGGGGGGAGGAATAGCGCCCCATCGTTGGTGTCAGCGGGGGGAGGAATAGCGCCCCATCGTTGGTGTCAGCGGGGGGAGGAATAGCGCCCCATCGTTGGTGTCAGCGGGGGGAGGAATAGCGCCCCATCGTTGGTGTCAGCGGGGGGAGGAATAGCGCCCCATCGTTGGTGTCAGCGGGGGGAGGAATAGCGCCCCATCGTTGGTGTCAGCGGGGGGAGGAATAGCGCCCCATCGTTGGTGTCAGCGGGGGGAGGAATAGCGCCCCATCGTTGGTGTCAGCGGGGGGAGGAATAGCGCCCCATCGTTGGTGTCAGCGGGGGGGAGGAATAGCGCCCCATCGTTGGTGTCAGCGGGGGGAGGAATAGCGCCCCATCGTTGAAGTCAGCGGGGGGAGGAATAGCGCCCCATCGTTGGTGTCAGCGGGGGGAGGAATAGCGCCCCATCGTTGGTGTCAGCGGGGGGAGGAATAGCGCCCCATCGTTGGTGTCAGCGGGGGGAGGAATAGCGCCCCATCGTTGGTGTCAGCGGGGGGAGGAATAGCGCCCCATCGTTGGTGTCAGCGGGGGGAGGAATAGCGCCCCATCGTTGGTGTCAGCGGGGGGAGGAATAGCGCCTATCTTTTGTGTCAGTGGGGGGAGGAATAGTGCCCCATCGTTGGTGTCAGCGGGGGGAGGAATAGTGCCCCATCGTTGGTGTCAGTGGGAGGAATAGTGCCCCATCGTTGGTATTAGTGACACAAATGATGGGGCACTATTCCTCCCACTGACACCAATGATACTTACCTTGCTGACCCCTGCTCCAGCCTGGGCTCGCTCTCTCCCTCTCCCATCTACAGCCTGCAGAAGCAAAATTTGCACTTACCTGTCAGCTGTCTTCCTTCTCTGGCCTCTCTCCTCTTCACTCGGTCCTGCAGCTCCCTCGATCTTCTTCGATATGCGTGCTCTGCCGCTCGGCTCCTCCTCTCCAAGCTCCACCTCCTCGCCGGTGATTGGCCGCCTGTGTGCCTCTCCTGAGCTACAGTTCCGGTGGCCAATCAGCGGCGAGGAGGCGGAGCTGTTGAGTGATCCCGGAGGTGTGGCCAGGTTACAGGGGCAGCATATCATCCTGCCCACAGATCGCGAGACAGAGCAGCGGTGTCTCGGTTCCTAAGACCATCGGAAATATGTTTTCCGATGGTCTTAGGCGACCCCTGGGAAATGGTCGTTCGACCCCCAAAGGGGTCGCGACCCCCAGGTTGAGAACCGCTGACCTAGGTGATCAGAAACGGAAGTTGTCCTCCTACCCTCCCTCCTCATAGTCTTGTGGGACACGTGACAGGTCCCAGAAGACGAAGGGGCCATTCAGGAAGCACAGCGCTACTCGCGCATGCGCAGTGGGCACCCGACTGTGAAGCCGCAAGCTGTCACAGCTGGGTGCCCACACTGAAGATGCTGGTCTCCTGGAATACAGGATGGCCGGTGAAACGGGCTGCGGCAGGGTCAATGTGGGATCGCGGGACAGTGGCTGTTTTTTTAAAAGCCAGCAGCTACAGCTTTTGCAGCTGCTGACTTTTATTTGTGAGTGGAACTCTGCTTTAAGTATGCTCGTGTGAACAAGGCCTGAGGCTAAGTTCACGCTTGCGTGCTGGTTGGGGGTGCGGAGATTGCACCTGTTCCTGCACCCGCAGCCGAATTGCGCTGCTCTTGCAAGAAGCATTCATTCTGAATGGCACCCCCATGCATCTCAGCCTGAAGCGGATTTGCGGAAATGCGGGCACAGCAGTCCATTTAAATAACAGCTGCATGGCTTGCAATAGTGTGAACTGAGGCTTACTTCCTGCTCATACCTATTATTATACTGTACATTCATAAGCCACAGCTGGTGGATGCCTCCAGTTTGTTTTGTCCCTCATTTTTAGCAGTGAGTTTGTCTTATGTAGAACATTAGCATGTTACAAAGTAAAGAAATGAATAAGAAATTGGCTTCAACAACTATAACTGCTTGACCTTGAGCATAGTCTATGGCTGTGGTGGAACAGAGAGTACGATACACTAGAGTCTTGAGGAGCTGGAGTAGGGTCTTGTTGAGCAGATGATGTGCCCACAGTGGAAGAAGAAGACTAGTATGGAAGTACCTTGGATCAGTTCTGCTTTAGAAGATTTGGATATTAATGGTTTATTACATTTATTGCTCTTTTAATTTTAAATTAACGATTCTCAAGTGTTTTTCAAATCATAAGGGTCTCAAGCCGTGGTAAAATAATAGAAAAAAATAGAATTGTACCAATTATTTTTCACTTTTTAATTATTCCCTTTTAAGTTGCTTTTTTTTTTTTTAAAAAAAGAATTAGTAAATTACTCTTCACCTTAAAAAGATTCTAAGAGACTTTAATAATTTAAAGGAATGCTCTTGTAGGAGGCTGCCACCTTGTGGGCTACCCAAAGGACTTTTGCTGTGCATTTAAAAATGGAATAGGCGGTTTGCTTATATAAAGAACATAAAAGTAAATTTTATTTACAGGTTCACACAAGTAAGGAAATATGACACTGATGTACTAATTGGTTAACCACAGAAAATCTTTTTATAATTATGTTCTAAAATGTGTCTGATTACTTATACCGATTTTGCAACTGTATCTATGATTGTACACCCTTTGCAAAAAATAATAAAAGGACACCGGTGATTGAAGCCATTCATTTGATAGATACTTTATCATCATTTAAGGGGAAGGGTAGCTTTGCTTGGACTTTTGAGATAAGAGTCATCAAATGCCCAAACTATTCAAAAACTGTTAAAATTGTACATAAATCTGAACTGTGACATTACAACCAAAATCACGTTTTTGTTAAAGTGGTTCTAAAGGCTCAAGGTTTTTTTACATTCATGCATTTTATGCATGAAGGTAGAAAACCTGTGTGCAGTGGCCCCCCCAGCCCCCTCCTCAATCCTTACCTGAGCCCCCTCCAATCCAGCGACGTTCTCGACAGCCTCTGCTGTCTAGGGACTCTTCCTCCTCACTGGCTGAGACAGCAGCGGGAGCCCATTGGCTCCAGGTACTGTCAATTACAGCCAGTAAGCCAATGAGGAGAGGGCAGGGCCAAGCCGAGGCTCTATGTGTCTTATGGACGCATAGAGCAGCAGCTCGGGGACGAGCAAGCGGCTTTCCCTGGAGGCACTGCTCGAGGGGGAGGAGCGCTTGTGGGGACCCAAGGAGTCTAAAAAGTAGAGTATCTGGGCTGCTCTGTTGAAAACCACAGCACAGAGCAGGTAAGTATAGACATGTTTGTTATTTTAGAAAAAAAAAAAACCAAAGCTTTAGTGTCACATTAACTTTGTAATAGAAAATACAAGTGTCTCAGCTGATAGATATCAAGGTGTCACCTCTCCTTCAACCATGCTGAATCCAGTCTGCTCCTTTTTTATGTAGCTGTGCTACTGCAAAGGGAAGATGGTAGGGAAGATGGTTTGGAATTTGGTGTTTAAAGGGGAACTAAAGTGTATCTAATCACCACAATCCAAAAGTCCTATTTAATTCATTTGTAATATTCAAAGAAAACTCAACCATTCATCCATGTCTCCATTGATTTGGCTAAGAAATCACATTTACAAACACTCCCTAGCATTTTTGGCAGTGGCCATCTTGAGTAAGAGCAGATGATTCATGTAGCATTTACTTCCTGGAATCCATATGCCCTTAGCTGAGGCATGCAGGTAGGAAGGTGTGCTTAGCTGAGAGAACCCCATCTCCCCTCCCGAAGATTCCTGGGATGTATGACATTATTTGCCTAGGCATCTAGACTAGGACATAACTAAAGAAATGTGAAATGTGACTGGACCTTGAAGAAGGGGACATACCCCGAAAGCTTGTCCTCAAAATTGTATGTTAGTGCAAATAAAAAAAGTATCACGTCAGTACTCAGTTGTTTCTGTCGCAAGTGCTCTAATACGGCTACAATCACCTCAAGCTATTCTTCAGGCTTATGAATGGTTTGCACCTTGTGGTGAACCCTCTGTATTTGCTTTTGTGAAGTCTTCTTGATTGTAGACTTTGACAATCATACGCCCACCTCCTGGAGAGTGTCCTTCATTTGTCTGGATGTTGTGAATGAGTCTTTCTTTGCCACAGAGAGGATCCTGCACTCATCCACCACTCTTGTCTTCTGTGGACGTCCATGCCTTTTTATGTTGCTGAGCTCACCAGTGTGTTCTTCTTTGCACAGAATGTACCAAACAGTTGATTTGGCCACTCCTAATGTTGCTGCTATCTCTCTGATGGATTTGTTTCATTTTTGAAGCCTTAAAATGGTCTGTTTCACTTGCATGGACAGCTCCTTTGCACACATGTTGTAGGTTCACAGCAATAGATTGCAAATAGCACACTTAGAATCAACTCCAGACCGTTTACCTGCTTAATTGATGAAGAAATAACAAAGGAGTAGCCCACACCTGGCCATGAAACAGCTTTTGATTCAATTGTCCAATTACTTTTGGTCCCTTGAAAAAGGGGGGATAGCTACTCTTAAGAGCTGTAAATCCTAAACCCTTCCTCCACTTTATGTTAAGGGGCACTCTGATGGGCAAATTCAATGTTGTGCCCATCAGAGTGCACCCTAACATTAAATGTGCCCATCACAGTGCCCCGTAACATAAAATAAGGTGCATGCTGATGGGCACATTTTATGTTAAGGGGCACTCTGATGGATATGTGAAACAAAAACATAACGTGCCATGTTATGTTAAGGGTCACTCTGATTGGCACATTCTATGTTGTGCCCATCAGAGTGCCCATTAACATTTAATGTGCCCATCAGAGTGCCCCTTTAAGACAACACCCTACCTTGAGGGCAGACAGGAGCTTTGCCGGGATCCTTGCTGGACGCTTGTGTACAGGCAGGGTGCGGGAGCCAGAGAGCCAGTGAGCTGAAAGGGGCAGGGCGCACATGTGATGGCATGTTGCCATGACGACCGCCCTGCTCAGCAGGGAATCTGTCATTGTGGGTTGGCGGTACAGGCGGCAGCACTGCTGGGACCATTCGCGGACCGCTGTCTGCCATTTAGTGACCGCTGATATACAGTATAATATATATAATCTAATTGGAAGCTAACTAGAAACAAAAACACTCACATGTACAGTGTTTCTGATTATTACATTTGGTTGAGTTTCCTGTTTTGTCCTCTAGCACTTCTTTCCTTTACATACATTCCTGTCCTGCAAATTCTACCAGATAATAGACCTCTTTTTTTCTGGTCAACCATGCCTGTTCTGCTTTTTGTATGTATATACTGTATGTGTGTGTCCATACGTATACATACTGTAAATATATATATATACAGTGTATATATCAGGCCAAGGCAAGTTTGGCCCCTCTACCATGCAGTAGATTCTTTGCATGTTACAGTATATGTTAAAACAGTGCAAGTCAGTAGTGGAAGACTTCTGCCCAGTGCAGTGATCACAGGTGACCGCAAGGTATCAGTGAGCTGAGGAACAATTGTCATATCACATTGCAGAGATACTGGCCCCATGACCACTGGTCCAATAGGCCTGAACATGTAGAGGTTAAACAGGAACTAAACCCTCATACCCTGTACAGCCAGGAAAGCTGCAACCTTAATCTCTGTTTGATCTGCAGCTGCCATGGTGCTGCACATCACCAAGCATTTACCCCTGGTTCATATATCCGCATTCCTGAGGTCCACGTTTTGCGCGGGCAGAAGAGCCCATTCATTTGAATGGACTCCAGTGCCCCGGGACACGCAGGGAAGAAGTCCCTGCACTTCTGAAAACGCAGCCCGCACTGGAACCTCTGTTTCTAGTACAGTTGTGATCTCCGGTGCGGGCGGCGTGCCATTCGAATTAATGGCACTCGCCTGCGGGTCCGCATTCTTCTGTGCGGGTCGTGCGGCTGCATGGATTTTTGTGCGGATCCGCAGCGGCACCACCCGCACATATGTGAACCTAGTCTTAATGGCTTAAACGTTTGCAGCTGTGACAGTTATCATTCATGGCATGCCTTGAATGTAGCCATTTTGGGTATCTGTTAAATTGATGAGTTTAGTTTTGCTTTATAAAGAATCTGTCACTTATCCTAAAATATAAGGAATCCTCCTGCGCTCAATGGAATGATTATTATAATACAGCTGCTATCACTTGACTAATACCAATAAGTGCAAACAAAAAGAAAAAATAGTGAAGCGCTTATATCACATAAATACAGTACAGTGCATTCAAAAAGAAATAAAAAATAAATTAATATGAAGTCACGACGCACGTGACGCAACGCGTCGGTTTGTAATTTCCTGGTGACGCATGTCCGAACGCCGCGGCCATATTGGATTCCCCTAAGTGCATGCAGATTTACCCATAGGCTGTGGTAAAAAACGCTTACTGATGAAGAGGACCATGTGAGTGGAATTATTTGTGGCTTTACCGTTTTCTTAAATAAATATACTACACTATGGAAAGTTTTTTTGTCTTTCTATGAGTCTGAATAAGAGAGAGGAGGAGAAATAAGGAGTCTGCCAGAGGAGATACACCATTGAAGTGGTAACTGCTTTGGGGCCCTGTGGGGTCAAGGAGGGGAGGTGAGCAGGCATTGCTGCCATTTGGAGGAGATTATTTGCACCTAGAAGTGGAGATCACGTGTGTTTTCGAAAAGCACAGTCACATGCATGGACATTTTGACTAATTGTATGAATTAGGCACTATTTCATGTGATTAATTTTTTTTATTCACCTATTTATTCACACTTCGATATGAATTTTGTTTTATGCACGGTATAATAGGTTTTTAAAGTGTCTGTTGTATCACTATAGTTCAATTATATTTGGTTGCACTATTTTTTTCTCCCACTAGAGGGAGGTATTAACATTCATTATATAGATTTGTTACGCAGGAATATCAGAATTATATTCATATTAATTTATTTTTTTATTTCTTTTTGAATGCACTGTACTGTATTTATGTGATATAAGCGCTTCACTATTTTTTCTTTTTGTTTTCACTTATCCTAGCCACTGATACATTTGCTGTACCCTAGAGCCACTGGTTTCCAATGCTTCCAGTTGTGGGGGAGTATGTGACCTATTCCCTTTGCTCCCGGGGTGCAGTACTGAGAGGAAAATGACCAGATACAAACACTGTTACATAGGAGAGGGGAGCATCTCATCAGCCCTGTCTATGCTCTGGCACAAACTATGTTATGTCTGTGGTAAATCAAAACAAGACTGAATGGAAACTGCAGCTAAACTGTAATATGTATGGTCAACATAATGCTACTGCATAGTTGCTAATAGTTGTAAACAATTTCCAGGCAGGGGCGGACTAACCATGAGATGCCCCTGGTACCTTTTTCATATGCTTTTTTGAGTTTGGGCAAGGACACAGGGGCCCCATGATCCCCTATTGCCCGGGGGCCCCATGAGTTGTCAGTCCACCCGTTTCCAAGAACACTTTTTTTCGCTATGCAGCCAACAAATCATTCTAGGTTGAGAATGTACTTTAATTAGGGATGGGGCATTAATTTAAAATGGGTGCAGTTTTAAAAGAGGTATATCATTAACCTAATGCCATATTTTAATTAAGAATATATAAGAGAACTAATAGTTATGGGGCTAAAGAAATGCAAAAGTAAACAAAAAAAGGTATTCAGTGCAAAGCAGTATGAAATGGCAGTGTAGAGATGGAGTGTATGGTATGTAGCAATAGGTTGGTTAGTGAGCATTATGTAATGATAGGACAGTCAGTGAGCAGCATGTAGTGATAGAACAGTCAGTGAGCAGTATGTAATGATAGGTTGATCAGTGAGCAGTATGTAATGATAGGGTGATCAGTGAGCAGCAGGACAGTCAATGAGGATTATGTAGTGACAGAGCGGTCAGTGAGCAGCATGTAGCGATAGGACAGTCAGTGAGCTGTATGTAATGATAGGGTGGTCAGTGAGCAACATGAAGTGATAGGACAGTCAGTGAGCTGTATGTAATGATAGGGTGGTCAGTGAGCAACATGAAGTGATAGGACAGTCAGTGAGGAATATGTAGTGACAGAGCGGTCAGTGAGCAGTATGTAGTGGCAGGGCAGTCAGTGATCAGTATGTAATGATAGGGTGGTCAATGAGCAACATGTAGTGACAGAACAGTTAGTGAGCAGTATGTAGTGACAGGGCAGTTAGTAAAGCAGAAAGTAGTGTCACGGCACTCAGTCACTTACCACACAGCCAAGGAGATAAATCAAAACAAGACTAAATGTAACCTGCAGTAATGTAATATGTATGGTCAACATAATGCTAGCGCATAGTTGCTAGTGTAACACCCTCCTAGTTACCTAATGGTTACTGTGAAGCAAAAATAAAAAAGAAGGGCACCAACCTTGCGCATTCTCGGTAAACCAAATTTTATTGCTCTGATGAAGAAGGAACATCCTTCGAAACGCGTCAGTGTTCCCTGAGTGTCCACCCCTATGATGGGACTCGTGCAGGTTTTACCATTCCATAGTTCCTCTGAGAACGTACATGGTTGAAATACTTACCGTATTTGCCGGCGTATAAGACGACTAGGCGTATAAGACGACCCCCTACTTTTCCTGTTAAAATATAGGGTTTGAGCTATACTCGCCGTATAAGACTACCCCTCTTCCAACGCACACCAAATAAAAATGAAAAAACATCAGATTTGATTTCAATATGGTATGGTATTTCAGTATGGTATTCCAATGATGGGGCACGATTCTTCCCACTGACACCAATGATGGGGCACTATTCCTCCCACTGATACCAATGATGGGGCGCTATTCCTCCCACTGATACCAATGATGGTGCCCCATCATTAGTGTCAGTGTGTGAGGAATAGTGTCCCATCATTAGTGTCAGTGGGAGGAATAGTGCCCGATCATTGGTGTCAGTGGGAAGAATCGTGCCCCATCATTGGTGTCAGTGGGAGGAATAGTGCCCCATCATTGGTATCAGTGGGAGGAATAGTGCCCCATCATTGGTGTCAGTGGGAGGAATAGCGCCCCATCATTGGTATCAGTGGAAGGAATAGTGCCCCATCATTGGTGTCAGTGGGGAGAATAGTGCCCCATCATTGGTGTCAGTGGGGAGAATAGTGCCCCATCATTGGTATCAGTGGGGAGAAAAGTGCCCCATCATTGGTGTCAGTGGGGGAGGAATAGTGCCCCATGGTTGGTGTCAGTGGGGAGGAGGAATAGTGCCCCATCATTGGTATCAGTGGGGAGAAAAGTGCCCCATCGTTAGTGTCAGTGGGGGAGGAATAGTGCCCCATCGTTGGTGTCAGTGGGGGAGGAACAGTGCCCCATCGTTGGTGTCAGTGGGGGAGGAACAGTGCCCCATCATTGGTGTCAGTGTGGAGGAGGAATAGTGCCCCATCGTTAGTGTCAGTGGGGGAGAGGAGCGGCTGCTCCTTCTTTCAGTTCGACCGCTTGATTTTCGCGGGGCCGTTCGGCTCCGCCTCCTCGCCGGTGATTGGTCGCCTGTGTGCCTTTCCAGTGCTGGCGCCCAATCACCGGTGAGGAGGCGGAGCCGAGCGGGCGGCGGGACCATCGAGCGGCCGAACTGAAAGAAGGAGCAGCCGCGCTTCCTGGACCGGATCGTCGTTGGACCGGGACCGGAGCCAGGTAAGGTACAGCAGCCCCTCTGCCCACCCCTGTACTTGGTGTCCGTTGGAGGAGGAGGGGGGGTGGCGACGCCCCTCAAAAAAGTGCCGCCCTGACACCGGCTCGCCGTATACCGGCGTATAAGACGACCCCCGACTTTTCAAAAGATTTTCACGGGTTGAAAAGTCATCTTATACGCCGGCAAATACGGTAATTGTTTGTATGTTTTTGTATTCAATAAAATTTGGTTTACCGAGGTAATGCGCAAGGTTGGTGCACTTCTTTTTTGTTTTTGCTTCACAGTATTGGTCAGGCTTCCCCAGCCTCGTTTGGAGCTGCACAACCCTATATGCACAGGTGGTCGAATTTTTTTCAAGTTCTGGTTCCATCTTTCCACCTCTTTTGGGTCTCTGAGCGCAGGAAAGTTTGTTTCTATTTTGAATTACCTAATGGTTAGTCAGGAGCTGCTAGCAGCTCAGGTGTAATAGCCAGAGGGGTCAAATTTGGGGCAGGGCTGAGAGACTCTGTATGCCAGTCTCTCTTGGAATTTCCTCTTGCTCTGAGGTTCTTAGAGGGGGCCTTGGAGGCAGTGAGTGGATTTGAAGAGTAGCTGGCTGCACCTCTTTAGGGACTTCAGCCAATCCCCAACAGGAGGTTGAAAGGGGGCTGGACTCTTTAAAAAGGTGTTGGAACCTGCTCAGTCAGGAGGGGAAGTAGTGGGAGAGTGGTGGAGTGGAGTAGAGAGGAGAGAAATGTGAGGCTGGTGGAGGAGGGCTGCCAGGAAGTCTGCTGGGATGGGGCCTGCCTACGAGCCTGGTTCTGGAGAGGAGGAAAACTCAGGACTCACTGGTCCCCTGGGAGAGGATCCCCTGTGTGGCAGAAGGGAGCCATCCAGCTATCAAGCCTGGTAACTGCAGCCATCCACAGGCTGTGCAGGAAAGACACCTGAGTGAGTACACCTACCCCCCCCCCTGGGCAGATAGTGGAAGGAGCACTCTGATGGAAAACCATATTAGCCCCTTTTTAGTGACTGTGCACCTACTAAAGGTAACAATAGCCAGATCCCCTGCTCAGGAAAGGAAAGACTACCTACAGACTGGTGGGTGGAAGAGGAGTTCATCTGTGGCCTGGGGTCAGGGCTGCTGTTAGGAACTACAAGGCCCCATACAGCCAACCTGACAGGACCCCCCCCCCCCCCCCAAAGAAAAAAAAAACCTGTTTTCTATGCTTCATTTATGAATGAACACAGTGAGTGATCAATACTGATTACTCATTGTGCTCATTCAGTAAAGAAAAGAGCTGGTAATTGTGACATATTTCCCAGGCCCTTCTCCACTCTCCATCCTGAACCTAGTATGTGCTTGCAGCTGCTGGTGTAAAGGAGAGGAGGGAAGCTGGAAGCACTGTGAGGGTGGGGGGCACACAGGGGGGCCTGGGCAGCCGGGGGAAATGTATGGTGCACAGGGAGGGTGATGGGTGTGGTGGGGGGAAATTACTGGAACTGATCCCCTGTATTGTTCTCTCTGCAGCAGCTGAAAGCCAGTGGGAGGGAGAGGAGAAGAAGCCAGCTTTCAGCTGCTGCAGAGAGCCATACAGGGGATCGGTTCCAATAATTGCCCCCCCACCATGTCGATCACCCTCCTTGCCCACATCCGATTCACCCAGCTGCCTGGGCCCTCCTGCTGGCTTGGGCCCTGTATAGGAGGACTGGTGGTACCCCCTTATCCACGACCCTGTCTGGGGTACTACTAATGGAGCTGCTGGCTAGCACTCCAACAGTGACTGTGTGAGGCCTTAAAGGAGAGGTTTTACATAGTTCAGGAAGTTTGTCCTCAGATTTCGGTTACCCTTGGGCATCCTATACACCCCTTTACCCTATCCCAGTTCAAATCCCCTAAATAAAAAAAACCCAAACCAATGCTCAAGACCTGATTTTCTGTGGAAGAATGCTGTGTGGAGAACTCCCTTTGACTGGCTGTGCAGGGCTATAGGGGGACCCAAATTCAACAGCAATCCCCAAGAGCGTAGTGCCACACTAATATTTAAAAAAAAAATTTCCAGGGACACCTTTTTCCTCTATGCGTCCAGCAATTCATTCTAGGCCGAGAATGTACTTTATTAGGGGTGGGGCACTCATTTAAAATGGGTGCAGTTTTAAAAGAGGTATATCATTAACCTAATGCTATACTTTAATTAAGAATATATAAGAGAACTATAGTTGTGGGGCTAAAGAAATGGTGAAGTAAACGAAAATAAAGTATTCAGTGCAAGGCAGTAAGAAATGGCAGTGCAGAGATGGGAGTGTATGGTATTTAGCAGCAGGTCGGTCAGTGAGTGGTATGTAATGATAGGGCAGTCAGTGACCAATATGTAATGGTAAGGCAGTCAGTGAGCAGTATGAAGTGGCAGGGCCAGTCAGTGATCAGCATGTAATGATAGGGCAGTCAGTAAGCCATGTGTGGTGGCAGACCACTTTGAATGACAATTGCACGGTCATGCAACACTGTCCCCATATGAAATTGTTATCATTTTTTCACACAAATAGAGCGTTTTTATTTTTTTATTTTTTGCGCTATAAACAAAAAAAGAGCAAAAACTTAAAAAAAAAAAAAGTTTTTCTTTGTCTCTATTATAAAATTTTGAAAAACACGTAATTTTTTTCCTTCACTGATGTGCGTTGATGAGGCTGCACTGATAGGCAGCACTGATAGGCAGAACTGATGGGCACTGATAGGTGGCACTGATGAGCTGGCACTGATATGCAACAATGATGGGCATGGATAGGC